AACCTCTGAGCTGTTTATCAGATAGTTAATGAAGCAGAGCAGTCCTGAGAGGGACGGGAGAGGGGCAGCAGAGGGGGACAGAAAAGAGAAAGGGGGCAAAAGGTAAAAGGAGAAAGAGAAAGAAGAGCGAGCTGATGCAAAGTAGTTTGAGAAGACGATGAGTAAAATGTGGGAATACCCAAAGTAAAGCCAGCACTCTCCCCCTCAGCAGTTATCCCTGAACGGGGTTAGAAGAATGTACCACAGTCTCCAATGATTTCACATTATTCCCACTACAATGCGCAGAAAAATACACATCATATTATTTATCACATTTCCTGGTTAAAAATCAGCAGAGGCCATATCACTCAGCTCCGGCGATAAACATTTTCTCTGGCTGTGAGGGAAGCCGAGCCGCGTTCCCAACTCCCGTCATCACCGCCATCCAGTTTACTACAGGCCACACATTCATCAGTGTGGTCGGCAGGAAAAGGGAAAGAGCCTGCTTCATTACAAGTTCAAATAATCAGCCAGTCAAGATGATCAAAACAGAATCACAGTCTAGATGTCAGTGTTTGATCTTTCACCATTTTCAGTGACAATTAATCCTGCTCACATCGAGAAGGGGAAGGTTGAATTGTTTTAAAATGGCAGAATGTGAATGTTTTATCTGGTTAAATTCTCAGGCTAGATCTATGGTCTGTATTGTTTATGTGTTCTTAGACATTACAGTGTGTATATCAGGCTGCAACTAATTTTTTGTCATTATTGCTTTTTTTATAATTATTATTATTGAGAAAATAGCCCTACCATTATAAAAAAAATGCCATCACATTTCTTACAAATTGCTCGTTTTGTCTAACCAAACCTCTAAAACCCCGAAATATTCCATTTACAATGACATAAAAGCAGCAAATCTTTACATTTTAGAAACTAAAATGACAGCTTAGTTTCTCATTTAGCTTGAAAGGAATGTATGAAAGGATTATTTCAGTTATCCAAAGTATGTTGTGTATATATTTAAAAAACAAAAATAGACATAAAGTTGACTTTATGTCTATTGACTTTAATGTTGAAATTCATTGTTTCCAAACCAGTAACTTATTTTCCTACACGTGCTGAAATGCTGCTTTGTTTTATCATTGACAGAGGAAAAATACTTTCCATGTATGTTTTTCATGGTTCTACCTCCTTAAAGGTTCCCTTATGCCGTTTTAGACCTCTAGTAGCACTGTGGAGCTGCTTTCTGTGAGTGGATCCTTGTTTTGTTGATCTCCTGCACGCACACCTGTGAGGATGCACATGGTTTTGTAAGATAATTTAATTCTCTTGTCAACTTAACAAGCTCAAAATGTGGAAACAATTGGAAACACAGATTCTGATGGCACTCTGGTCATGGAAAATTGAACATGCTTTGATTCGTTTGTTCGGCTGTCAGTCATACACCGAGGTGCTATTATTGGCTCATGTGGCAGTGTGAGAATCTGGTGTGTTCATCAGGGGCCGGAGGGTGAGAGGTCAGGCTCAGGGGAGCCATCAGTGTTGAGCGGTCAGTTGACCCTGAACGATCCTGAGATAGGATGGCCTCGCCTCCCCGAGGAGGAGCATTCCATCACCGCTGGTGTGTTTGTGTGTGTGTGTATGAGTGTTTCAGAGCAAGGCATGTGCTTATTTAATACCACAATCAGCACATACAGTACTTTAGCACATATGTTTCACAACATATCATATCTGTCTTTCCTGTTTGACACTTTGGTCCAGAGAGACATATCAGTTGGTATCAGGTTGCATGCTTCCAAAGAATAATGCCTTATTACTTTGGTGACACCCCCCACCCCCAAAACATTGCAGTCTTTGTATACTGCATGTCTAACAGTCATATTACCTTTTCGTAATATTCATGGTCCCCAGAAGATGATTTTTCAAAGATTCTCTTGACCCTCTGTCCTCATGAAAAAGTATCTTTTAAAAAACAGTTTATGGTCATTTGCAGTGGATGTTTGTGGCTAACATAGCATTTATCCTAATAATTTGGTGACACCCTGACATTTCCTCTGGCACCACTTTATTGCAAATATGTTAACTTATGTAAATTAAATATCTTAATCTAATGGCCAGATTGTTATGACATTCAGTAAGCACATTTATGCTCTTAAGTAAATAAGGGGATGTTTCCATTTTGTGCTTTTTTGTTGGTTGTGATTAGGGCCGCTTCTTTAATGTTGGAGATTAGAATCATCAGTCGGAGATGCCTCAGTCAACCGAGATTGCATCAAGTCAAGCAGTTTGGGTTTATTTGTGTGTTTGTTTGCTAGTCAGTGTGCTGCATAGTGTACTTCTGGGGTCGTTTTGGCCCCACATTTTGCTGCAGAGTGAGCGCTCTTGACATTTACAATACTCTTTAATACAGACAGCTGTGAACACGTGCAGCAGCACTGAGGAGGAGAGACTCCGGACCGTAAGGCTTTGAGATAACATAATCTTCTCTCTACTGCTTGGAAGTGGTGAATTTACAGCTCACAATTACTTAATATCAAACAGTTCCTGGCTTTTGTTTGATATCTAGTGTAGGCAAAAAATGTTGTTGCACATTTAGCGAGGTTAGCTTGTTTACTGTATTACATGAATAAACTTTAAAACTTTATAAAGAAATTCAGTCTTTGAATATTCGTATTGAACAGTCAAATCTGAGTCGACTGACACAATTCTGAGTTGCGTACAACTCTAGTTGTGATGAACGTTAAAGCTTCTAGGGGCTAGTCTTTTTGTGTTTGTGTCTACAAAAGACACACCTATGAATGCTACTGCAGAGGGAACACAGAATCTGCTAAATGTAGGGAGACAGCCTGCCTTGGCCCCGTCCAAGTTCATCACATAAAACATCCTGATGTGGCTGGATGGAACACATATACACACATGAAAAATGGCACACACACGCTCACCATTACGTACAAATCGAAGTAGAGCACATAAACTGTGCTGATGTGCTCCTCAGAGAATGAGACAGGCAAAGTGTTTAAGTTACCTCTGTAGAGACAGAGAGGAAACTAACTCCACACATATCCACCTTTCTGCTGTAGAGAACAGACAGCAGCTGTGTGTGGCTGGACCCATTTACAATAGGCCAGAACTAGTGGTTAACCGTGTGGCTAAAACTTCATTGCACAAGTAGTTTTCCATGCAACAGAAGAGGTAAAAGGTGTCACTTACCTCCATGAAGTGCTGGAGGTTTGATGTTCGCCCAAACATCTGTAAGCACTTGTTGCATTTATCTCTTCATCTGCTCAGCTCACTTCAGCTGTTTCTTCTTTATCCATTCCTCTTTATAATTTTTTAAACTGAGTCATGCACAAAAAATATCAGTTTCTCTATGTAAACATTTTTTGTGCAGCAATGACTCTTCGATTTCAGGTACTGAGACTACATGAAGATGCAACTGTGTCACAACAAAAGCATTTGGACTGAGACCTAGACAGGAAATGTCACGTCTGCTTTGAGTTTTTTATCTGCAGTTTCATGGTTAGGAATCATGAACTCTTGTCTAAGATATGTAAGGGGTGACACTGAGGAGTCACAGAATATGTTGACATCTATGACTATTAATGACAATGTGAATGTACTGAAAATGAGCAGATTTAGATTTCAAAATACGTTGGTTTTAGGTTCTTGCTCTGATAGTTTACCAAGAGTCCATACTAGAATGAACTGAAATCAATCAGCAGAATTAATAAAATCGAACTGATACCCACCCTTACTGTTTATACATGTCCATGCGTGTGGGCATTTGTGTCTGCCTGCCTGTCTGCCTGTCTGTCTGCCTGTCTGTCTGTCTGCCTGTCTGCCTGTCTGCCTGCCTGTCTGCCTGTGTCCCCTTCGAAGCTCTTTTGATCAGGCTAGATGTGCCAGAGGTCTGTAGCTCTGACCTGCTGGCTCTGGTTCACCATAAATATTATGGAACCACGCACAAACGCCCTCGCTGGCTGTTTAATATAATGCTGGGTCCACTAAGGGACTCAGACTATCAGCTTTCACTGGGTATATAGGCTAATGATAATACTGCTTGCGCTGTGTAGTTAGAAATATAACTCAGAACCATAGACTTTATAAAAATAATGGATGTAGCCACTGTGGCGTCACCCACTGGGTTGTGGACTCGCGCTTTGAAGCTTCAAGTGTGGTATTTTGGCTGTCGCCATCTTGGATTTTTGGAGCAAGAAGTGACTGTATTTGGACAAGCGGGTAGAGCTGCGGAGAAGTGACAGGTGGATCTGACTGAGCGCCCGAGGACACTATCTGCAGACAGCCTGTCAGTCACAGGCAACACCCTTAATTATTCATAATTTTAAACCTTAATAAAATGTAAACAAGTAAGTTATACAAAAATGCAACCACCTTTCACTTAACATGGAGGGGGAAATTAGGTATATGGACAAAACTCTTATTTGTACCGGACTGTAAACATGTTTACAGCCTGTAAACATGTTTACAGCCTGCTGTAAAGTTGGGCATTTTAACATGGGTGTCTGTGGGGATTAACTGACTGTTGGACCCAGCCTCAAATGGCCATATGAGGAACTGCAGTTTTTGACACTTTCACACTGGCTTTATCATTAAGCCTCGAATGTTGTCACTTAGTTAGAACTTGATGCTGCTGCACTTTAATTTCTGGAAATTTTTCATCTCCTTAACTTTGCCATTAGTTTTGGTGCCACTGGACCATGTCAGTTGTGTGTGAATGTGTTTGCGGGCATAGGTGCATATGCATTCATGGCCACGTGTGCATTTGTGTGCCAGCACCACAGTGGGCCTGTGGGAGTCCACTGTCCTCCTTTCCCACGGTATTTGTCCCATGAGCCCCTGCAGTGACGTCAGGGCAGAGGTACGGGCGAATGCCCCGCTCAGAGGTCGCAGGTTCATTTCCTGTCTGTCAGCACCAAGTTGGGCAGGGTCCAGTGTGGAGCCCTGAACTGTCTTTATGATCTCTCAGTGGTTTAACCTCTCTGTCCCTCTGTCTCTTTCAGGCTATGTGGCTGATGCTACAACAGGAGGAGCCGGAGGACTTTGTCATAGCAACGGGGGAGGTGCACAGTGTCAGGGAGTTTGTGGAGAAGGCCTTCAAACATGTGGGGAAGACTATTGTGTGAGTGCATGCAGACACACATACACCATAGTATTTCAGACATTATATGAATGTTTTGCCAATTTTACATGTCTTTGTAATGAATAAGCCCCCAAGTCACTTTTCCATAAATCACAGTATGTACCTGTGAACACTTTTATAACACTTCCAACACTTTTCCACCCTGATTTGAATGCTGTCACATCAACAAAAAGGTCATAGCATGCACTCATAGAGATACTAAATGCATAGTTTGCATCTTCTTGAGAGTTCTGTAATAAATTTGTCATATAATTATAATTTTTCATTTAAAGGTTAGTTAAATAAACCTAATAAACCACAAAATAATATGAGAGAACATGACATTATATAAGACAAGGCTATAAAATGCAAAAAAAAATAAATAAATAAATTTAAGATTCAGGCAATGTTACAGATTCTGTGAGGCTGTATTTTGGAAACTTCTGTGCTCTGCCACATCTCAGTCCCCTCCTCTGTCTCACCTCTAATTCACCTCCCTCTTGTGTCTTGGAAGACACTGACATGTTGGTGAAGGCGTATGTGACAGCTGTGTTGGTTTCAGAAAATAAAGACAGGTGACATGTTTTGTCTGCACAAGATGTTAAAGAAACAAACCACACAAGAAGTTATCAGGGAGACGGCGGAACATACAGCTGAGCCTTCCAGCAGCTGTGGGAAATTTTTTTCCTTCCTGCTAATATTTGTGTCTTTCCAGGTGGGAGGGTAAGGATGAGAAGGAAGTTGGCCGTTGCCAGGAGACAGGGGTGGTACATGTGAAGGTGGACCCTAAATACTTTCGTCCTACTGAAGTGGTAAGTCAAAGTTCTCCCTTTGTTTGAGTATGTATTGGGTGTTTATCGTGGTTTAAATCATTTACTGGCTTGAAATTTAGGCATTAATATCTTCTTAATGGAACAATATTTTAACGACGTATTTAAGAGTTATTTACTTGGTATAACATCAATGGGGCTAGAGTTTAGCTTTCTTTGAAGGAACTCAAAGAGATAGTATGAGGTACTTCACCATAGTCTGTGTATTCAGTGTTGGGCAAGCTACTTGGAAAGTGTAGTGAGCTAAGCTACTAGTTACTCTAATATTAAATGAAGTTTCACTACATCAAAGCTATCACCCTCAGAAATGTAGCAAGCTAAGCTACAGCAAAATGAAAGTAACTAGTGCAAGTACATCCAAGCTTGTTACTAAACTGAACCAACTTCGTGCCGAGTCAGTGTTATCTTACTGATCAATAAAACTGTCAGTCGAACAGATAGGCAGGTAAAAAAGTTAAGTTCAATTGTTTATTGAACAGTGAGCTGCACTAACTCCCAACACGACTCAAACCACAACAGCAAGAATGAAGACCTGCTTCAAACAGTCACAACATGGTCAAAAACGTACATGCATGTATGTGTGTGTAGGTACACTGCAAAAACTCAAAATTTTACCAAGAATATTTATTTCTAGTCAAAACAAATCTCATTACAATTGAAATAAGACTCATCACCTAAAATGTAACTTGTTTTTAGACAATTTTCACTTGTTTCAGGAAAATTTTCACTTGAAATAAGTAGAAAAAAAATCTGTCCATGGAGCAAGATTTTTTTTTTCTTATTGCAAGCACAAAAAAAAACTTGCTCCATGGGCAGATTTTCATACTTATTTCAAGTGAAAATTTGCTTGAAACAAGTATTTTTTAAGTGTAAAGAGATTTGTTTTGACTAGAAATGAGGCTAGTAAACACATTTTAGTAAACACATTTTATAGTGAGCAGCATACACATGTATGTCCCCTACAAATCCCAACCGTGTTTACAAAGTTTGAATGAAGGAGACAGACGCAAAGGAAACAGAGGCTGCACATTGATCCTTTTGCCTCTGTCTGCAGGAGCAAATAAAAATCCCATTCATAATGAGGTCAAATGGATTATGTGCATAATTAACCACAAAACAAGCAAATACTTCATCTTAATGACATATAACACTCATTATGCTTCAGCTGAATCCTCTAAGCAAATGACCATGTTGAATTGAAATTAGTTTATCACGTTAAATGTCCGAAATTGTATGAAATTGATCCAATGCGTTAAACCAAACTTTGCGCATAATCACACAGCCTGATATGCCCTGGCAAACACAGTGGGACTGCTGTACAGACCGTTGGTCTTTCTTACCCTAACCCTGGTTATTTTCTGAAAGCACAGAGCAAAGAAATGTCTTTTTTTTTCTCCGCCGGTCTGCTGTCAGCAGGAGCGGCGGCTGCAGCGGGGATTTCAGCACCACGGACGGCGCGCGTAAAAAGACTTGACAAGCGTCTCCTTTTAAATGTGTTTGCTGCTGCTAGAGAAATTATACATAATAAATGAAAACAGTGACATATTTTCAATAAAAAACAGTGAGTTGAACGTTCATTTCAAGCTTTTGTAGTACAACAAGTTTCAGAATTGTGCGAGTGCGGCCGGAGAGCGGGCGGCAGTGTTTGATTCAGGAAACTCGATATGGACTTGAAAATCAATTTCGGAGTGGGGGTTGTTCGGAACGGCAGGGTTTCGGAATGGAGGGCTGTGCCCCGTCAGGTTCATGCGAAAGTGACTCTGTGTGGTAGCAGTGACAGTTTTATTTCAGTCCATAACAAAAATTCACACCTCGTTTGAGCTTCAGAAATGATTTTGGAAATGTAGCTTGTGTGGACACTACCGCGCTAAGTGATCAATAAAAGAGCTTAACTACTGAGAAGTTACTTGATTCAGAAAACAGCGACGCTACCACCAAGCTACTGAGAAATGTAGTTAAACTACAAACGTCCACTACTGTCGTGACGCAACTGCCCAACACTGTGTGTATTACATACAGCAGTTGTCAGTCTGCACGCTCCAAGTTTGGAAAAGCAGTCTAGATTACCACCATAGAAGCAAAGCAATGCACTGCTGTGGATGGAGGCTTTTAGCAAAATGTATTATAGCCACTTAAAAAAAGGCCCACCTAAAAAAAATCAGCATCAGTCTAAGTGGATGCTATATTGAGAATATTTTCACAGTTTACCTTGTCGTCAGGCAGCCCTGTCTTTTGGTACTACATTTTCACAGCTGTAGAACTTTGCTGTTTCTATGCAAAGATGCAACTGTGCTGTGCAATGTATTACACCGAGGGTCAAATGTTCAGGTCAGAAAGTGCGATCAGACTAATGTAAAACTTCACTTTCAAGATTCAAGATTTCAAAGGAAGTGCTTTTCTTTTTCTTTTTTGAGCTTTTCAAACAAAGAAATGAAAATAGCTGTGGCTAGTTGCACTAAGCATCAGCACTTGACCTGCAAGACTGAGACAACTTGGCATTTGTGGTAGACATTTCTCACAAGACAGTAATGTTAAACCACCGCCAAATAAACAAGAGAGACTGAGGAGCACTGCTCTACCCATCCATCAGGTACAATTATGCTGAAAAGCAGCAAAGAAATGAAACAACTCACCAAATAACCAGTAAAGTGTTAGGCACTTGCATCCTCTAGTTCAGAGAAATGTTAAAATAAAGTAATGTTGATCAAGTCCAGGCAGCAGTAGCTCTGTAGGTCCATGGACATGGGTTTACAGTTCACACAGTTAGCTTGGGCTCTTTCTCGACCTCCACTTTCTACAGAAGTTCCCTTCTTTTTTTCTGCAGGTTCAGTCTCCCTCTTCAGCAGTTATTTTTCTGTATACACTGGTACATAAAGATATTCTTTAGTCTTATGTAACCTCACAAAACACATTTTTTTGCCATAACTCAAGGATTCTTATGCTAATTATGACAAAACTTAACATAAATGTCTAATAGGATAAAATGATGAAATGATGACATTTTATATTGAAAAGGTCAGAGGTCAGTATCACTGTGACATCATGATATTCTGCATAGAACACGTTCCTGTCCATTATTCAGCGCCATATCTCAGGAACAGAAGGGGAAATATTTAAAACTGTAAGAGAAACTTGACTGGTACAAGGAGGCACACAACCACAGGGTGGCAATTTTAGTTTTGTTTTCTTGTATTTGTTATCTCTTCCATCAACAGCTGAAAGTCTGTCCTAGACAGCATAATACAGTGCACAACACCACTGTGCTTATGCATAGGAATACCAAAGTTCAACAGCTGAGAAAATGTAGTGCCAGATGAAAGAGGCTGTCTGACGGTGAGGTAAAACAGTAAAATTATTTTCAATATAGCATCCACTTAGACTGATAGCGTTTTCTTTACAAAGGCCCTTTTTTAAGGCAGCTAAAATACATTTTGCTGCTGCCCCCTGTCCACATCAGTACATTGCTGAACTGTGGTGGTACTACTGCCTGCTATGCCACCCAGGGAGCGTGCCCACTGTTGTTTGCTGTGGGTAACACAGTGACTATGAATGGTCTCTTACAACTCAACTTTAAGAAATTGGAAGTATTCCTTTAATGTGTGTTCACATTAGCATTAACTCCATTAGCTGACACATTTCCCATTGTTCAGTCAAAGTTATTTTGTCAAATATGCTCCTTGATATTAACATAAGAAGCGTTGCTACAGTCTCTGACTACACTTACAGCAAAGTTGACAGCAGTTGTCCAAGTCATGTGTGTTGGTGTGTTGTGTTGTTGACATTACCTTGAGTAACACACAGACCAATGTGATCTTCACACTCTGCATATTCATTTGTACATTTGACTTTAGAAATTCATGACTTCAGCCAAAGCTTACATGTCACGTAATGATAACTCAGAGGACCATACTGGTGGTTTTCCATGTTTAAGCCAAATAACTACAAATATGTGATACTTACTTATAAACTGAATCAAATGGTTTGCAATATCTGATGTCTTGCTTGCTGTGCAGTTTATCAGGCTGGGCTGCAGACCGCATCAACACACTGCACTCACTGCTGCAGAATGAAGGTGGCCTACTATAATAATATGCAATTCATGTAGTTCTCTATAATTCATGACATAGCACAGCACATATTTCCTGTTCTATATACCTGACCTTAACATAAATGTAACATGTTTTGTCTGCATGTATCTGATCGCCGGTCATTGTGTCTGCGACCGTACACTTATCAGCTGTAACGGGTCCAGTTGACAGGCTCAGGCTGCTTATTGTATGCTTTTAAACAGCTGGAAACAAGCCAGTCCGCCTTTTTAAGAGTAATGTAGACTGCATCCTGCCAGTTGGTGCTGAATGGGTGCTCATATTCAGGCAGCAACCTTGAATTTTTTTCTTTAATAAGAAGGGCGTGTGCTGGATTGACTCACTCAGCTGGTGAGGCAATTCTGCTGAATGAGAGGTTAAAATTATGAGTCTGTTTTATCAGCTTGCACATGGAAAAGTGTGCCTGTACTCATGTTTATAACAGCTGTGAGCATCAAAACCAAAAGTGAACCATCATATTATCCCTCGATCACTCTAGGTGTGAAGTGTCTGATATTTGGGAGGTCTTTCTCTCATCGCTATGTCCCAGGGGTATTGTGGCTGCTCCCTGGGGAGAGTGTAGGGTTACCCAGGGGTGTTGTGGCCGAGATTAGCTGTCAGGTTCTCAGTTAAAAGCCTGGAGCGCCCCTCTGCTGAGCTTTGGCCTGGCGAGATTAGAGCTAAGATCCCGTTGAGTGATAGCGGAGGATTAACAAGGAGGCCCTGCTGACTGACTGCTGAGGTGATGGAAGCACTGGTCACACACCTGGGCCTGTATTCTTTGTGCATGTTGGCTCATTCATTCAAGATCTTAACCCTGAATCCACACTGAAAACTAATCTAGACACTGGTCAAGTCAGCCAATGGTGACCTATCAGTAAAGGAAAAGTTGGATGT